GTGTAACCGGCTAAGGGAGGTAAAGGTGTGCATCTTCCAGGACTCGAACCCCGGACCACGTGCATGGTCGGCCAGCGCTCTACCACTGAACCACCGATGCGAAGGTGGAAGATGAACACAGATTAAAGGTTTCTGACTATAGGTACCTGGATTCTTTTAAGTCATATTCGGTTGAAAGATAACGGTATGTGGTAATGAAATGCTGAATAGGATGCCGCATAACCATAGAAAAGCGATTGATGGTGAAGTTATGGAGCTTTAACAATTAAAGTATGTCCGAAATGTGCTATGCATGAGAAACCACCACTTCTGTTGACATGAAATATTTATTAAAGTAGAAATCAGTTGAGAAATAGTTGAGTGGTCAGCTAAAAAGAATATGACCACCAGTACTTGAAGTCATTTTCTGTTACGTATCTGAAATTTTCAGAAAATTAATAAATCAATTGTTTGGATGATTATTGGGTGATTGTCACCCTTGCAGGTCTATTCACCCCATATCATCTTCCAATTTTCTAAAAATTCACATTGGCCATTTAATACATTTGCCTATTTGTCTTTCAAAGTAGCTTTCCGTTTCTATTCTCTTATTTTCCAATATTTATTAGATTATTCCCTTGAGTTCCGCGTGGAACGTAGGGATTCAACAACACATCTCCACTTTGTCCTATCTTTTGCCATACTCTTCAGCTGGGTTCACGCTTGCCCACAATCTCTCATCTCTTCCTCACAAGATCTCCTCCATTTCACCATTGCACTGATGACCCACCCATCGTTTCCCATTGGGATTCCACTCGAGGGCCTGATGCGTGATGTCATTCGACGGTTCCCTCAACATATGTCCGATCGATCTCCATTTTCTCCTACATAATTGTTGAGCAATCAGCTCTCGCCTGTTGGTTTGTTCCCACAGTTTATTGTTACTTATTCTTCCTGGCCATTTGATCTTGAGTACGGAGCGAAGGCAGCTGTTGATAAAAGTCTGCAGCAACCTGTTTGAAGTGCTTTTCGTGACGCGCAGTGCAAGTTTCTGACCCATATAGAAGCAGTGACTGACTGACTTCCCATTTGTGTTGAAAATCTGATTCGAATCTTATTGTTTGGTCTCAGGTTGATGAAGGTGCATCTTGCCTTGTCTTTCCGATTCTGGCTGGCTGACTTCGACATCTTCATCCGTGCTATCCGCTTGTAGTTGAAACGATGCTTCCTAACCGGATAGATGAAGGAGGCGACATCTGTTAAATCTCTCCCGTTGATGGTGATTGGTGCTGGTTATTGTTGTTGTTACTGTTGGCGTTGGTTGGTTATCTTCATCACTTTCATCTTCTCTATGTTCATTTGGAGTCCCGTCTTCGCTGCCAGCTTCTTAAGCTAGTTTGTTGGTTTTCGCCTGCAAGTCTTCGAGTTTTTATGACGCCAGACATATATCATATGCGAGATCCAGACTACTTAGAGTCTTCTTATCGGTGCTCCAACGTACTCCTGTCTCCTCGCTCCCCACAGTCTGATGCATAATCCAGCCCACCACGATGAAGAATACCATCGGTGATAATAGGCAACTAGCTTGTCTTACTCCTTGTATGCACTTCGAACGCCTCGCTGAGTTTTCCATAGTGGATCACCTGACACATTCCACTGTCACAAAGCTGTTGAGTGAGGTTGATAAAGACTTGAGGTACGCCGTAGTGTTGAAATATTTCCCAAAGTACTTCTCGGTCAACGCCCTCTGTTGAAGGCCTATTCGAAGTTGGTGAAGTTGAGGTCGAGAGAGATTTGGCTGCCATCATATGCTTTGTTCTGTGATGACAATGCGTAGAGTTTCAATTTGATTACCACATGGTTTGCCTTCCTGAATCCAGCTTGTTCTAGGTGTGGGTGGGAGTTCTGCATGCAGTGCATACTTTATTCTCTCCAGGATGACGCGACTTAGTATTTTACTTGACGTTGACAAGAGCATGATTCCGCGCCAGTTCTTGCGGAGTGAGGCCTAGGTCGCTCTTCTTTGGCAGCTTAACTAGGTAGCCAGTCTTTCTTCCAATCGGTAGGTACCTTTCCTTCTTTCCAAACCTTTTGCAATAATTGATATAAGTAATAATTTATTTTGTTAACCTTTGAAATATATATATACATATAAATATATATATATATGTATATATGAATTCATCTTATGCACTTTTGCGCAAAGTCTTGTGTTCATGCATCAGATGGTCACTATTCACTTGTGTTAATCGTGGTTTCTATTCATAATATCCGATAAGTTTAACTTATCAGGCGTTTATTTATTTTTATATCGATACTGTTTTTGTCAATGCTTCATTATCCTTCATTTCTGTACACCGTTTATCTTATATTAACTATTGCATATAATCCTGTTATCATACCATGATTTTAAATGTTTCTTCTTGATAAAATGCGATTGATGTGTGACATAAACTGAAATGGAAAATAGCACTGTTTGTTTCCTTCCTTAAACAAAATTTTCTTCATAAAGTTAGTCACTTACTAAAAGTTATAGTTAGACCTGAAAAGCTTTAACATGCACGAATCTTTAAGGGTGGGTTTGCAGGAATTTGATTGGTTACGCGTTTTTCGATCACTTGCTGATTCATTATGGATAAGATTTTATTTTGATAAATCACACAGTGTTACACAGTAATATTAACTGATGACGTTTCGAGCACAAATTATTGCTCATAATCATATCAAGTTACTCACACAACGTTTTCCTTCATTTATAAATATGATATGATTATGAGCAATAATTTGTGCCCGAAACGTCATCAGTTAATATAACTGTGTAACACTGTGTGATTTATCAAAATAAAATCTTATCCATAATGGAGTTACACTCTACCACAGTGCCCAAGTTTTATACTTATATCAATAATACTTGCTGATTCAGTTAGAGAACCATCAAAAACACCAGAAAGTACAGGACAGCTACTACATCCTAGCTTGGGACTCTTAATCTGTATGTACCGATTGAGGCTAAGATCCAGGAACTTTCCGGTCACATCGCGAGCTCGTAGATCATTCAACCACCTGGACTGGATCCAGTGGCCCATGAATTCCAATTTCTGTCATTTCGCGATTATATATATCTCCCCCACCAACCAATGTCAACGGCGAGTAACTGTCTTCTTTTGCTTGACTATATGGAGCCAGCTTGTCACGGTATGAAATCGCTGGAACTCCAAGTAACTTCCTAAATAGAGCCAGTCTATAGTGTGCATCAGATTAATTTTCAAGTACTGGTTTGTAAGGATTCGATTGGTTATAGCTTTAGTTCGTTAGAAAACCACTGGAATCTTTGGTGAATTTTAAAAAAGCAATACCACTGTTTTTAATCACTTTGCAATAGCAAAACTGTGACTACTAATTTGAAGACATTTCATGTATTAGGTACATGATTCGCTACGAGTTCACCGTGTGGTAAATTAAAGTCCTTTGTGCCTGATGGAACAAAATAACTATCACTTGATAGTTTAAAATACCTTTGACTAGATGACATGGAGATTTGTCGAAGTTTCTACAAAATGTAATAGCATCTAATTGTTGAATGTCTAACTTGATAGATTTGAGAACTGTTGATGATATCAATCAAGGTAGTTTTTGGTACGTAATGTTCATCAACTGGAAAAAACAACAACAAAAAGTGTTGAATATCTGTTCTATCGTATCTAGATTATGTTTAACAGTGTGGATACGTTGTCTTATGACAGAAATAGTCCAAAGCCTCCAACCTTCCAGCCTGTGTTTTTTTTGTTTTTGTTTTCCTTCACGTTCCCCAGTGGAACATAGAGCTTCAAGCTAGAGGCTTGAAGTTTCTGTAGCAGTGTTTAATTTTTACAGGATGGGGTTGCTAACCTCATGCCCAACCTTTCCGCTTCACCAGCACTATTTCTGGCTCAGCGAGGTAAGGGAGTGCGTCGGCCGGAGATCGAACCCCGGACCATGTGCATGATCGGCGAGCATCCTAACCGCTATACCACCGACGCTTTAGCTTGTGTACTATCATTTAAATGCTCCATCGGAACCTTATAACTTAAATTCTCAACTCTCACCAGTTTTCCAGATCGTGTGAATATCACTCACTGATATTGTTAACTATCCTCATATCCGAATTGGGTGCTTCATACAATGACTACTTCTCTTTGTAATCACAAGATCCGATTCTTTAGTTGAAGAATGACTTCAAGTTAGATCATGGATTAGTATCAATCAGTTACAGAACCAATAAAAAGCAGGTAATAATGCTCATTTAATGCTCGCTAGTTTAGGTTCAACGATAACCCCACTGGCAATCGAACTAAGGACGTTCATTTCACGAGGTGAGCCTATTAACCATTCAACCAGAGGCGAAGAATTCAGTGTTCGATGAATACATAGTGCCATCGCTTGCCATTGTCATTGATAATCAGTCGCTCAGATATCCGACTTGATGAGGAGTCCCAAACTAGGACGAAACAGCTGTCCAGTAGTCTTCGCGCATTTCAATGGTCCACTAACTGATACCAATCTGTGATCTAACGTCTTTTGCTTTGAGTCACAACAGTCACTGGTTTCATTCACATTTCGAGGTCATTTTAATATCTACTGATGAATTTTCTCGCTAAAGTAGAACAGGAAATATGGCCAGCAGTTGTTTCTATTTTGGATTGGTCTCCAATTGACTTTGGTTAATAACAAAATACTGCATGAAACATTTGACATTTACGCTTGAAGTTAATTAAGTCTTATTAATTTCTTAAACTTTACCTCGTTCTAGTTCTTACTGGTAATGTTTGATTGTTATGAAGATATAAAATACCAGGACATCAATGACTTCTCTGTGTCTTAAGATGATCATTGGTCTGAAAAATGATCCTGCGACAGAAATTCAACTTTAGAAGTTTTTCCATAAGGAGATCAGTGTAAAGATATTATTATTATTATCATTAAGTCGCCTTCATAATTGTATTTTTGTTTTCTAAATTTTTTTATTTCGATAATAATAATAGGTTGATGTTAAGAAACCTGTAGTAATTCCTGGTGATTTTGAAAGAGAACATATGGTCGAATGTGATCAACTCGGTGGTATTCCATATCCACCAGTATTGATTGAAAGTTTGGTAAGTTTATCATATCTTCGAAGTAAAATCTGGTAATTGTTATAACTAGACGTGTCTTTGAAGTAATATTTGGTGAATGACAGTAGAATCGACGATGCGCATTTCGTCCTGTCTTGGACTCTGCAGCTGGATGTACCTGCATTCCTTAGTGCGTGAGTGATGGTATCCTCACTGAGACTTGAATCCAGAAGCCTTCTTTTCAAATGCCAAAGCGTTATTCACTAGAACACTTGGGCGCCACCTCTTGTGCCAATGGGCATGGGTTATTATTTGTTTTTAATTCACTTTTGATATTCCCAATGATTGACTGGAGCGAGGTGTTCGGCATTTCAATTCCTAGTATGGACGCTTCAGCGATAAATTACTTACCGAATTATTTCAAGTTATTCATGAAACATTCACGATGCGTCTTTACTAGAGGCCGAAAGTGTCGGTGCAATCAATTATTGGGAAAATCAAAATAAAATCAAAAACAAATTATAGATAGATGTGCCTTTTTTGCAATTTTCAATAATTCAGTTGTATGCACCAAATACAAATTCTTCAGCAATACGCACCCACTGGGGTCGTGACCATTGCGGTACAGGAGGTCGGGTGTGAGGACAAATACTCGTCACCGATGACATCGGCTAGTGGTTGCGCTATATCACGAATTAGCAGAACTTGGAATTCATGGGTCGTTGGATCGGGTTTCAGTGGCTAAACGGTCTATGAAATCACCTTGTAACCTTCAGGTCCTGAGTGTTACAAGGTGATAAAGAGTCCCAAACTAGGACGAAACAATTGTCCTGTACTTCAGGTTTTTAATTGGTTATCTAACTGATGTCAATCCTGTAACTAATCAAATCCCTTCAAACTGAAACTTGATATATTCTTCACTTTATTATTCACACAAAAATGTTGCTGACTGACATTTGATGCTTCAATAATAATACCTTATGAAATGAGTCAATGACAAGAGGTTATACAAGCCTCAGAAACTGCTACATTATCTATGTGTTATCTAATTTATTGTCTCCTATAATGAACTTGGATTACAGTATGATTACCTCTTGTTCCATAAAAATCCATAGTAAAGTCCGCGCTTAAGCTGCTGTCTGGAAAGACAATGAAAGCTTTGTGAATAAACCGTCCAGCTCAGAGAAAACAACTACCCCAATAGCATTAAACTGAATTGAAAAACGTCTCCGTTATATCTCTATTTAATATGTATCATACGAAATGCTAATTTTTATTTGGAATTCGCTGAAAGTCAACCAAACGATATCCATCATCTTTTAAATTAATAAGTCTGTTGTAAAATTAATCGATAACATTATCAGTGTTAAAGGATCATGAAATATGAAAACTGTTATTCCTTGATGATTATTCATTGTATTTGAGTTAATATGATTCTGCTATTCATTTATCACATTCAGGCTACACTAAGGTTTCAACTATGAATCATCTTTTGGTAGATTAATTCCTCTGATACTTACGACTTAGGTGCAACTACAGAAGCAGATGGGATTCGAACTCGAGTCAATCGGTGCTACAGTTAGAGATAGTACTGTTGGGCTATTAGAGCTCACGACTGACTATCTGAGGGACTGTAAGGAATACATTGATTAGCAGTCACTGGAGTGGTTACCAATCTAATGCATCTAGTCGTGCTTATTGGTGCAGACTGAATTCTGTCATCAGTCGAGCCAGAAATGTGGCTATCATGCTATGAGTTTCACCACGACGGTCCACTCTTAATTGTTGATATTAAATGGTTGTAAGCAACCGGCAGGAAGCCTTGGACCTACGTTTCGTGCTTGTTTGCGCCCATCAGGATAGCGTATTTGCAATCTTCTAAGAACTCATTCCCCTTCTGCGATTTGAACCTGAGTTACCCAGTACTGCAGTCAGAGACGTTGCTGCAGAGCCATATGGGCCGGCGACTGACTTCCTGTAGGACTTTAATGAATACTTTGATTGGACACAAGGCATTAACTAATTTCATGTGTCATCTCATGGCATGAGTTTCGTTAAGACTGCAGATACGCCATCATGATGAGTGCCATCAAGCACGAGAATTAGGTCCAAGGCTTCCTACCGATTTCCTCCAACCATCTAACAACTACAGTTCAGAGTTCACCATCATGGTGAGATACGTAGTATGTATTTTAAATGCATTCGTTTATCAAGCTGAGGTTTACGTACTCACTTATTTTGTAACAGTGTTTCTAAAAGGAATACTTAAACACCTTAGCCTATAGCCTTTCTTTCAAAATGCATGATGAGAAGTTGGAAATGTAAAAAAGTTATATTAACAAGAGACGTTTGGATGAAAGGAAATCAGGGTAGTTTGAACATACACTGAGGAGAAATTCAATTGACTTCACATAACTTTCCAACTGAACTATTCGAGGTCACGACTACACTGACTAGTCACCAGAGTAATAACTGTTGTCATGCATCTAGTGCTTAGTGGTGGTGCAAACTGAATTTTTTATCAATCAAGCTTGGTGACCACATTGAAAACTTGACTGGTAGAATTCAGGCTACGGTAACAGCCAAGAACCAGATGCCATGACACTGGTAACGCCCTAGCGACTAATCAATACATCCATTCATTTGTATTTATATTTACTTAAAAAGAGGACGTTAAGTGGCACTAAAAATGTCTCATTTGATAAAGATTTAATGAAAATAATCAATATGGGATTGTTTTTTTTAACGGAAACAAATGTTGAAGTAGACGAATAAGAGAATTGCAAAAGATTATGATAGAAGTGAATTGGTATTAAGAAATTTAAAAGTAGGTCTGTTGATGAAAAAAAGTTACAATTACGATGGTTGATAGCCATCATGAAAGTGAAGGTAGAGGGAAACGCATGAAACAACTTACCAATATAAGACAATGGTGAAAAAAGGTGTTTTCAAACGAAAATGAGTTTAAACACATAAAGCTGTTTTTTTAGCGTATAACTAACCCTTCAGCTATAGAAACAGGTGATGAAAAAGTTAGCTTCTAAACCAGTTAACTTTAATTGTGCGTCGGTGGCACAGTGGTTAGGACTCTCGCCGACCATGCACATGGTCCGGGGTTCGATCCCCTGCCGGCACACACCCGATATCTATGGTCGGCCTGCAAAATTTGGGCTACCGATAACCAAGCTGAAAATTCCATACTTGTTCTGAAAATACGGTGTGGCATTAAGCTGTAATCAAAATAAAAATAAGCAAAACTAAAGATCACCTGGGGCTGACTGATATACCTGAAGTGCTCACTAATAGAAAACTTCTCCATCCTTTACTAAACTTTCATCAATTATACTAACCAGGAACTGTTCAACAACACTTTTCTGCATAACTCGAACTGTGAAAAGAAGAAGCAATATTCCTTCACTGAGTAAATATCTTTTCCCCAGCTAATTTCATGATCCAACTTGAAAGAAATCAAATCTCTCTTTGCACTAACCAACTAGCTGACTACTGACTGATTAAAAGATGCAGATGCCTGGAAATCTCACCAGTGGGGACAAATACTCATTCATGACTCTGGCTGACAGTAGTAGAGTATGCCTCGAACTGACAGAAGTCAGAGTTTATGAAGCACATTGGATTCTGTCTCACTGGCTGGAAGGATCAACCAGTTTGCTTTGTAACCAAGATGATCCTGGGTTTGATCCCTTGACGTGGGAGTCATGAATAGTTTCGAACTAGTACGAGACAGTTGTTCATTACTCCCTAGTTTCCATTAATACTATGAGTAATATCATCTCATATTGTAACAACAGAAGACAAGGGCCAGGCAACAGATCGTTTATTAAGGAAAATCAACACATATTTATAGATTTTAATGTACATTATTGTAGATTATTGTTAGTAGAAAATACAGTCTTTTGATTGGTTGTTTTTCACAGAAAGTTAACCTTGCATCTCTTTGTGGCTGTGTCAGATCATCCATATGCTAACTGTATCCGCCTACGCAAATCCTTTGTTCTCATTTTCTCACCACCAATATTAGGGACATAAACATTGACGTCAATTTCTGTCTACCAACTTTGGCTAGCAGACAGCTCTCACCACAATATAATCTAACTAGTGTCATGCATCTAATTGTGCGTGTTTCTATCGTCAGTCAAGTTTGCAATGTGGCCACCATGCTACATGTCACACCATGACTGTGCACTCTGGACTGTTGTTGTTAGATGGTTGGTGGAAATCGATGACAAGCCTTAGACAAGACCTAGGTTTCGTTCTTGTTGGTACTCATCAGGATGGCTTATCTGCAGTCTTAACGAAACTCATGCCATGAGATGACACATGACATTAGTTATTGCCTAGTGTCCAATAAAAGGTATTCCTTAAAGACCTACAGGAGGTCAATTTCGAGCCCATATGGTTCAGCTGCAGCGCTGGGTGACCCAGGTTCGAATCGCAGAAGGGAAACAATCTAACTTGGAGAAATCTTTGTTTTCTAACAAATTACTTTATCTCATTCCATTTCTTTTGTCTTCTGTCTTCTGCTTTTTTTATAGGATCGCTTAGCAGACGAGCTGAAAGTTGCAAAAATGAAAATCGTCAAAACTTTATAAATACTAAACTAATTAGAGATGAATCATTATTCAAAGTATTATTATTATTACTATTTTTCATTTTTCCAATATCAATATTACAATGCTGCAATGAGAATAATAACAATGCTAAGTTAGAAAATATTTCGTTGATAATATTCAGCTGGTTAGAAGAAGAAAGTTGGAGCATTCTACACAATCTTGTTCTCCAACTATATTTTGTAATTATTGTTTGTTTTTTATATTACAAACGATGAATACCGCTCACCATCGATGATGGCGATGGTGAATAGGCAGATAGACAGGTAGATAGATAGATAGACAGATAGTTAACCAGTGAATATTATTTTCACATTTTCTGTTGATTTCGTTTGTTTCATGTTTCAACTGTTTTTTTTTTCCCCTTTTCACTTTCTTTACAATTTTAATCCCTTAAAGTTTCGTTTACACTTTTATTTTTGAGAAGAAAAACAAAGTACAACAGTAGAACTGAATTGTAAATTTCGTTTACTTACTGCTACTTACTCACTGACTATTTGGGTAAATTACTTTTACACTAGAATATGTTTGTTTGTGTGTGTACATGAACAAGAATAAAAATAGTAAAAAGGTTTTGTTTCAACTGCGGTTTTGCATGGTTTTTACTTTTGTTTACTTCAGGATCATGATATACAGCCTCATGTAGGTGTTTATTTCTCTCGGCAGAGGTGGAGGGAGGTAATATTGTAACGGCAGAAGACAAGAGTCAGGCAACAGATCGTTTATTGAGAAAATCAAGAGATATTTATATATATATTTTTTTATGCACACGATTATTCGTTATTATTAGCAAAGAAACAGATTCGCAATTAATAGTGTTCTCTGAGCTGGTTGGTTTAGTTGCGGAGCTTTCGTCGTCCCCCTGCTGGACAACATCTTCAGCGCAATATTTAGCATAAAGTGAAATGATTAAAATTTCTTCATGAGTGATATAATTGCGTCTCCTGGTAACCACCTTTATATATGTATTGACCATTTTCTATTGACTTGGATTTTAAACTTTCTGGTCACCTGATTTATCTTTTATTAGTTGATATATTTCGTCTATATTAACGTGCTTGTTAAATGCACATTCGTTTGAGTACCAGGCTTCGAGGAATCCCCTGACTACACTTTTGGTGTTTCCTCTGTCTAAGATTTTGACATTATCCCAATCAAATTGATGACCATAATTGTCTATATGCATTGATACTAAAGAATATATATGGTGTCTTTTCACGGCTGGTTCGTGTTCCTGGATTCTGATTCGAAGGAGACGCCCACTTTGGCCGATGTAATGCTTGTTGCAGTTCATACAATTTATTTTGTAAATGGTATTAATTTTATCCCCTTTTTCTGTTGGATCTTTCGGTTTGCATAATATCGAATGAATTGATTGTGTTGGCTGGCTTGTGTGCTATATCTATATCAAACGGTTTCAGTATTCTGGCTGTTATTTCAGAGATATTTCTCATGTATGGTAGGACGAATTTTCTTGTGGTCTTTGATGATGGTTTCTTGTTGGTGTTTTGATTCGACGTTAAACAGCTCAGAGAACACTATTAATTGCAAATCATCCACTTGAGCTACAAATCTCCTCTATTATTTCAAAGAAACAGATTCTTCTGATTGGTCGTTTTCTCACTGGAAGTTATTCTATCATCTCTTTGTGGCCATTTCTTTGAAGGTCAGACCATATATATCTGCTAATCGTATCCGCCCACGCAAAGTCATTGTTCTTGTTTTTTTGCTCATGACCAAGATTTGGGACGTAAACATTGACGTAATAAATTGCTCGCTGTCTACCAATTTTGGCTAGCAGACAGCTCTCATCATTAGGAGAATCATCTGAAACCAGGAGGTATAGTGGAGCTCTGTTTTACTCCAACTGCGCTAGACTCTTCAGTACTGATAATTCATGAACCCACCAGTTAACAGATGACAAAGTTTTCATCCTGTAGTCTGTAAGCCTCGTGTCCGATCTGAAGACACCTCAATGGTCGTATAACTAATGTCAGGTTTTGTGATGAAATCCAGCCTTAAACATAATCTGTTAGATAAAAGAAATTCTTGCAATACACAACAACTAGATTGTTAATCATTACTTTTTGGTATCAGATATACTGTTATTAGCTAAAATGGTTCAGTTATTTTAAAGATTTATTGATCTGTGGCTAATAATAAGGTAGTTCGTCTCTCTTTTTGAACAGTCCATGAATTGGGTAGAAGTTTTTGTTAACAGAGTAAAAATATCTGACATAATTACAATCAGTTAGAGAACAATTGGGAAACCTGCAGGAAGTACTGGACAGCCAGCTGTTTCGTCCTAGTGCTTGAGACTTCATCAGTACGCACCCACCACCAAGGTTCGAACCCAGGACCTTCTGGTTACAAGGCGGGCCAGCTCGTAGACCATTAAGCCACTGGAACCCAACCTAATCCAATGACCAGTACATGAATTCTAACTTCTGCCAATTCATGGCATAGCGCGACCACCTCTGTACAACGCTCCGTAACCAGTAGGGTACAGAAGGTTAAAGGTGAGGCAGTAACTCATCGATGAGTACATTGCGAAGTGGTCGCGCTATGTCATGAATTGGCAGAAGTTATAATTCATGGGCAGGCCACTGGATCGGATTGGGTTGCAGTGGCTTAATGGTCTACGAGCTCGCCAGCCTTGTAACCAGAAGGTCCTGGGTTCAAACCTTGGTGGTGGTCGCGTAGTGCTGAGGAGTCCCAAGCACTAGGACGAAACAGCTGGCTATCCAGGACTCCCTACAGGTTTTCCAATTGTTCTCTAACTGATATCAGCTCATAATGAAATCCTCCAACCAATCAAAAAAACAAAATCCCTACAAAACCAATGCTTGATAATTACAATCATCAATTATTATTGTTAATACTTATTCAGAATGGTACATAGGTCTTCAGCGGCACACGTTTATTCTGTTCTGTTCGATATCATCCCTTTCATTTGGCTCCATAACTGCCTATAACCTGTCAGCTGGATTTTCTCTGCAATGAACCTTTCATTGAGTGATTTAGAAAAACGGCAATGCTTGAGCATATCTGAATGCCTGATCACTTTTGATTGAATTCCAGATTCACGAAAATGCTTCTCTTTGAAACTGATTTAGTAACTTGTTTTGAATGTGGTTTTTTATCAAAGAATCGGTTTGTGTAACCATTTTCGTGAGTGTGTCATTTAAAAAAGAAAGTCCCCCCGCGTAAGTTTTCTTAGGTTTAAGTTGCCCACCCAATTGTACCGCCCATCAACCATGGAATAACTTGTAATCGTTTAAAACGCCTGTTATGTAATAACTACAGACCAGCAGGATAGTTTTGCAGTCAGAATTCAAAATTGTAAAAAAATATTGATCGCCTATACACCATCAACGGGAGGGATTCGAAAGAGGTCACTTCATTCACTTATCTAAGGAGCATTGTCTCAACTACAGGAGGAACGGACGAGGATGTCAAATCGAGAATCGTGAAGGCGAGAAACACATTCATCAACCTGAAACCAATCTCGAGATCTTCGTCACTCAACTCACCATCAACAACAAAATTCGGATTTTCAATACAAACGACGTCAAGTCAGTCAGTTCTTCTATACGGATCAGAAACTTGGCGGGTCACCAAGAATATTTTCAACAGGTTGCAGACCTTTATCAACAACTGTCTTCGCTGGCTCTATACTTAAGATCAGATGGCCGGAAAGAATCACCAACAAGAAACTATGGAAAGAAACAAAACAAGAACGAATCGCCCAACAAATATGCAGGAGAAAGTGGAGACGGATTGGACACTCGCCGAGGAGGCCGTTGGGGGACATTGTGCGTCAGTCCCTCGAGTGGAACGCGAAAGAGAAGCGACGGGTGGGACGTCGAAGGGTGACATGGAGGGGATCGTGTGAAGAGGAGTTAAAACAGTATGGATTAACATGGATGCAGTTGAAAAGTACAGCAGAAGACAGAAGCAAGTGGAGAGGTGCAGTTGAAGCCCTATTTTCCACTATGAACCCAAGGGAACAATAATAATAATAATAAATACACTGATCAGATAATAACCAACCAATCAGATTTCAGTAATTCGTGAGGAGATTCAGCAGTAAATACTATACTTGGTGTGTGTATCATCTTGAAAGTTTCATATATTCTCTACAATTTTTCACTTACTTATTCTTCCTTTACTTATGTCCAATTTTTGTTGATTTTGTATATATATTTATTCACATCCTGTTTCTTTGTCGGTTATAATGTATGACAAACTGGACTTCACTTTTGTACAAGGTTCTGTACTTTATCATGTCTTATCATAATATATATATATATACATACTGCTGATGTATTCATTAAATGCGCATCATATCATTACGTATTATTGTATTAAGACTTCAACTGACTTTAGTACAAGTGTAATCCATCACTATAAATTATATTAACTCATTGTTGGTATTAGATAGTTGGAAGCAATCGGCAGGAAGCCTTCGACCTAGATTTCGTGCTAGTTGGCACTCATCAGCAAGGCGTATCTGCAACCTTGAAGGAATTCATGTCCCTTCTGAGATTCGAACCCGCGTCACCCAGTGCTGCAGTCAGAGACGTTACCACTGAGCTATTCTGGCTCGCGATTGACCTCCTGTGGGACAGTATTTGATATTTTTTGATTGCACACTAGTCAGTAACTAATGTGATGTGTCTAGTCCTATGTTCGCTGCAAACTAAATTCTATCAGTCAAGCTTGCTAGGTCATTCAAGGCTTCCTGTGGCCGATTGCCTCCAACCATCTATTACCGACAATTCACAGTGCTTGAATAAAGCAAGAACAACAGTGGTTTGTGCAGAATAATATGGTACCACCATTTATCTCGTAGGCTTCTCATCAGATGCTTACAGCCTAAATAAATTATGAGGTTTGCGTACAGAAAAGTTTTAACATACTTGCAAATTTTACATGTTGTCAGTTGACAAAAAGTTCCACAGTAAGTGAACAGCGCTCATAAAATTGCGCTTATATAGTTTTTACACAGGCAGTTCAAGTTTAAACAAAATAAATGTATGCATACAATGGTAAAAGAGTTACGTAATAAAGATGAAATATGCGTTAGATACAGAGTGACTAATAAATTAGGCAACAATGTACTGAGTTCAACTCAGATCGTAGGAACAAAAGACAAGCAAAATTACATATTATAAAAGGGAGTGAGGTTAAAGACAAAGATTACGCAATCAGATGAGAGAATAAAGACATTCAGTTACCAGGGCAAGGCAAGATTAATAACTGCTTCTTTCTGAACACATAAATCTGGTTTCAAACGTTTGATAGAAATTGCTTCGGCAAACTTGAGGAGAATGGAACTCCTTTATATATTGATAATTTTAAAAGATTTCTCGATTTCCACCTCATGACCCGTGTCAAGGAGATGCCTGGCGATGTCACTGTTTAAACCATTTGTTCCCTTGAGACATAGGTTTTTTGGCACATGATCAGAAAATCGGAGGTGTGCCCTTCTTTCTGTTCTCCCAATGTAACTGCCCCCGCAGATACACGTAAATTTGTATACACAGTTAGAGTTAACATGAGAAGGGTATCTATCGACTT